CTCAGCCCCCCGCGGCGTCGGCCCGGGGCCCGGGCCTCTGCTGGTCCCAGGCAGCAGGCCGACGGGCAGGCACGTTTCCTCCGCCCAGCGCCCGGCCCCGCCTTGACCGAGCTCAGGTGGCCCGTGTGTTACACTCGCGCGTTCCCTCCGGGGCGCTAATGCTGCAGCCCGAGGCCTGGGTACTGAAGGCGCGCGCTCGGGGCGAGGGGCCGAGCCTTCAGCATGGAACGTTTTCTTTCCCACAACCGGCGGGCGGACCGGAGCCTTGGGCCCTGCCAGCCCTTCCCGGGACTCGGGCCTGCCCCGTGGTGCTGTCCCAGGGAGGCTGCCCGTGGAGCGGGGCCTGGGACGGGCGACAGGCTGGCCAGCAGGATGCGCCTACACTCCGGTCCAGAGCCGGACCCGCTGCCCACCACCGTGCCTCTGAGCAGACACGTGACACTTGTTTTAGAGATTTTATTACCGCTGTTCCATTCCGGCTACTGGGGGCACTGGACGAGATGACAGCTCAGAAGCACAGAAGCTGAAGACAACCCCCACCTTCCTGTGGGGGCCAGGGGTGTCCTGGTGACAGCCCGGGGAGGGGGCACTGGAGGGCTCTGGGGAGCACTCACACTAGTCAGACCAGGGGCCCCCATGACGGGGATGGGAGGGCAGAGGGAGCTGACACCAGGCGGGGCTCCTGTCGGAGATGCTGCCCTCCCACCTCCGCCCCCAGGCCCAGCCGTGGGGAAAGGAGTCAGAGGCCAACTCAGGGACCAGGAGGAGGGTGGAGCCGAGGGGATGAGCCGGCAGGCGGGGCAGGGAGAGGCGGGCTGGGGAGAAGGGCCACCGGCTCGCGGGAGCAGGGACACTACAGGGCGCAGAAGAGGAGCAGGAGGGAAGACGGTAGTCAGAGGCGGACGCGGCGACCTCGGAGAACGTAGTGTTACTCTGGGCAGCAAGCTGGCCTGGGGTCAGTCGAAGGAGATGAGCTGGGCTTCACGGCCCTGCACCTGCGGCCCCTGTGTGGGCGGCTGCTGGGCCACCGGCTGCGGCTGCTGGGGAGGGCCACCAGAGGGCGCCATCTGGGGGACAAGGGGACAAGCCATTGGTCCTCCCCCAGGCCCCCAGTCCCCAACCTCTGGTGGCTTCTCCAGAACACCCCATCTCCACCTTGTCCCTGGGACTCAGCCCTCCAGTGGAGGCCACGGAGGGTGGCGGTCCCTCCCCCTCCAGCTTGTCACCGGCTCTCTGAGCTTCCTGCCCCAGCAGGGGCCAACCCTCGGAGTTCCCAATGGTGTCCACAGAGTTCAGCTTCTAAGACAACGTGGGCTCTGCTCTCCACAGGATGCCTGTGCGTCCAGGTTGTTGGCCAAGCAGAATTCCCAGCCAAAACTTCCTGTTCTTCCCAGGACTGCCCTGTGCTGAGGGCCCAGGTCCCCAGGGTGGTGGCCCTGGGAAAGGCTCACCTGCTGGTACATGGGCTGCTGCCCCGAGAGGTAGGGCTGCTGAGGGGGCGGCAGAGGTGCATCCTGGCTGGGGAGGGGAGTCACGAGACCCTGTGGAAGATGAGAGGGAACTTCTTGGGAAACCCACTAGGGGAGCCCAGCAGTGTGGGGGTGGTCAGAAGGGCTGAGCCCGGCCAGTGCTCCCCCAGCTTCTTGCCAGGGACCTGCCATCTGGCTGCCCCACGTGGTCTCACCTGCATGCTATAGGGCTGGTAGCCCATGGACACTGCCTGGCTCCCCATGTAACCCATGCTGGCCGATTGCGGGGGCTGGGAGATGGCCGGGAGGCTCTGCTGGGGCTGGGAGGCCACCGTCTGTGGAGGGAAGGAGTGTGAGGGGAGAAGGGCTTGGCTGGTGCTTCACTGGGGCCTCGGGAGGGGAGCAGCCCCACCCCGCTACCTGATAGCCCTGGGTTGGGGTGGGCTGGTAGGAGGAGTAGGCTGGGTTGGCGCTGGGCCCCGCTGGGCCCTGGGGGGCTGCCTGCGCACCAGTGACCCCCGCTGGGTACATGTAGGTGCTCACCATGCTGGGATCTGTGGGGGGAAGAGGAGTGAGGTTAAGACCCCGGGCTTGGGGAGCATTTCTCTGAGTTTTCCTTTTTGTTGTGAGTTTTTGGAACCAAGTTCACGGTTCACATTCTCACCGGAGAAAAATGAGATCAACAAGGATGGGAGAGGACCCCCAGCACTGAATGAAATCAGGAGAAATGAACCCAAGAGTACCCCAACTGAGTAAATGACACTGGGGGTGGGGGACAGCTCAGCCTGGTGACTTCTGAACCTAGAATTGGGACTTAGGACAACGAACATCAGCCTTTCACAGCGGCCTTGGCTGGCGTTCCTGAAACTGCTCTCTGAATTCTGGGACCGAACAAGTCAGTCAACATGGGATGGGGTAGGGTAGGGGGGAGTGACAGGCACACAAAGGGGAGGACACCTGAGCCTAGAGACTGGAAGGTGTGAGAGAAAACGCATTTTAGTGAGTGCAGTGAATACGTGCGTGTGCGTGTGAGCAAAGAGCACGTGGTGAAATGTTAACACTTGGGGAATCTCAGAAATCCTCTGCGTTATCCCGTTAACTATTCTGTAAACCTGTTATGCAAAAATAAAAATGAAAGAAGGTAACGTTTTGGGGCTTATCCTGGCTGGTCGGCACGTCCGCCCGCCCTGTTACCTGCTGCGGCCCCAGGCACACTGGGGTAGGGGCCGCCGCCAGCCGGGGCTGGCTGGCTCATGTACACAGTGTGCATGGGGGAGCCCTCCACTGAGCCGGCCGGGCTGAAGGTCGCTGGGAAACTTGTGGGACCCGAGGGCTGGTACAGCACGCCCCCCGCTGCGGGCATGGCCTGGAGCTGGGGACAAAGAGACGGCTGTCAGGGAGGCTCCCAGTGACTGCAGGCCAGCGGGAATGAGAGGCGTGGGGCGCACCTGGGCATAGGGCAGGGGGAAGGCAGGCATCTGGGCGCGCATCTGGATGGTCTGCTTCTGCTGCTCCAGGCGCAGCTGCCGCTCCTTCTCCTGCTCCTGCAGGCGCTGGATGGCCAGCTGCCTCTGCACCTCCAGATACTCCTGTGGGCCACAGGGCAGCAGTCAGCACGGCCGCCTCCCAGTGTCCCCAAAGTCTGGCTGCCAGGCCGCCCACAGCACCTGCTTCTTCTGCCGCATGATCTCCAGCTTCTGGGCCAGCTGGATCTGGCGCTGGCGCTCTGCCTCCTCTGCCGCCCGGCGCAGCTTCTCCCGGTGCTCCTCCCGCAAGGCGCTCAGCGCCCCCCGGGCATCGCGGATCTGTGCCAGCTTATCCTGCAGCCCCTCGTAGTACACTGTGGGGGAGGCAGAGCAGGGCCCTTGGCATTGTACAGACACATGAGCTGCCCATGGGGGCGCCTGCCCTTGTCCTGCCAGTGCTTGTTGACAGGGTACGGCTGGCGCCGGGGCTGGGGTATTCTTCCTTCAGCGGATTGTTTCGTGCTCAGTGGGACACTTCCTGTCACTGGGACCCCCTCCCCGGAGCCTGAGAGGTCACAGCTCCCCGGGACAGCCCTGCCCCAGGGACCTTGCTACTGCCCGCAGCCACTGGCAGCGTGGGGGCCCTCGCACAGCACCGGCTGGTGAGGCCAGCGGAGGCCCAGGGCCACGCACGTCTGCGCTCATCCAGCTGGTTGAGCAGCTCCAGCAGCTGGGGGTGCATGCCGTTGATGGACTGGAAGAGGGACAGCACGGCCGAGTCGTTGGTGATGCTGCGCCCACGCACGTGGTTGCTCTTCATGCGGTTGACGAAGGTGCTCACTGCGTTCTGCAGGGCCTTCAGGAACTGCGCATGGCTCTCCTCCGACTCCCCATTCTGGAACTGCTGCTGTGACAGTGGGACCCGGGCTCCTGAGTCAGCCTCAGCAGCCCCACCTGCACCACCAGACCTGACCCTCCGAGGGCGCTGCAGGCACCGTA